CACCCCGCAGAAATCTTAGGCAGGAGGGAGCAAGCAGAGTGACACGACTTCCCTCCCTCTGGAACGGGTTGCCCGCCGCAGCCCTACCCGGGGTACCCTCCGCCCCCTGCCCGCGGGCCCTGCCGAGCCCCGCTCCGCCCCTCGGTCGGGACGAGCCCCCGGCGGAGCGCGGCCCCGCGCGGAGCTGTCCATGGTGGCTCCGCTCCCGCCCCCTTCTGCTCCCGCCCCCGCCTCACCTGTATCCCAGGCGGGCGATGAACCTGCTGCCCAGGCGGTCCCGCAGCAGCAGCCGCGTCTCTGGCGTGAGGCTGCGGGCGGCCGAGTCCCCCACGGCCGCCGCCACCACGCTGCCGGGGGGCTGCCGGGCCAGGAAGGCTCTCAGCCGCCGGCCCTCGCCCGGCCGCAGGTGGGTGTCGAAGCGCCCCGCCGCCAGCACCCGCGCCGTGCCGCCGTCCAGGACGCGGAGGTTGAGCCCGCGGCTGCCCCACCTCCTCTCGGAGGAGTAGGGGCCGTGCCGGAGCCCGCCGGGGTGCAGCGTCTTGTCCAGGAGGGTCCAGGAGCGGGGCCGCCGGCCGTGCAGCTCCAGGACGCCGCCGCGACCCACGCCCACGAACTTCTGCCCGAAGCCCTCCACGGCCGCCCCCTCGGCGGCTCGCCCGTACAGCGAGATGGTGGCCCGCGAGCCGTAGGGGCAGCGCTCCGAGCCGATGTGCAGCTCCCCGCCGTCGTGGATGAGGATGTAGCGGGCCCGCAGGGTGATGGGCGGCCCGTGGGGGCGGTCGGCGAACACGAGCATCCCTGTGCGGCGAGGGGAGCGGAGCGGGGCTGGGTGCGCGCACAGCCGGGCCGGGAGGTGCCCCCCGCCCCCCGCGGTACGAGGGCTCCGGGGCGGCGGTGGTCCCGCTTACCTCCGTCGCGGATGACGAGGGAGTGGAAGGCGGCGGAGCTCTCGAGGCGCAGGGCCGCCCCCCGGCCCACCACGGCGGCGCGGCGGGTGTCGGAGCCGGGTCGCCACGGGACGAGGTGCGGGACGGCCTCCGGGCAGGGCCCTGCAAGAGACGGGCGGCGGCAGCGGCGGGGTCGGGAGGTGGAGGGGCGCGGAGGGGCGCGGTACCGACCTGATGCGCTGCCGCCGTTCGCTGCTCCAAGGCGCGTCCCGCGTCGGCACCAGGACCAGGACCGTCTCCGGGTCCGGCGCGAAGGGCAGGAGGAGCCACGGCTCCCCGAGGCTCCCCGCGCTCGGCACGTCCCGGGCAGTCCCGCAGCCTCTACCTGCATCCCGGGGCCGCGGGGCCGCCCCCGCCCGCAACACGTGCGCCGCGTCTGTGCACGGAGCCGGCGAGCGGCACATTTTGCTTTCGATGTGTTTCGGTTTTGTTGTTTGGGGTTTTTTTCCTTTTTTCCCCCCTCCACTTAACGTCGCAAGAACGAAAGCAGAACCCCCCTTCCCGCTCCACACAACCCCGGACACGGCGAGGCACCAGAACAGCAGCGCGGACAGAGGGAGCCGGCGCGGAGCAAACCCAGCGGCGGATCGACGAGCGGCACTGGCGCGTCCCAAACTTCGCTGCAGACGCTTACCTGGAGCGTCCCGGCAGCGCCGACCGCGGACTCTGCCCGACGCCTCTCGGAGCTGCCGGCCCGGGCTGCCGGGCACCCAGCGGGGCAGGCAGGGCAAGGGCAGGCAGGCGCAGGCAGCTCCCGCTCCGCAGCTCCGGCTGCCTCCCCTCCGCCTCCCTATTTATATCCATCTCCCAACCGCTGGCGGTGCCCGCACTGTTTACAGCGGCGGAGCCGCTGGCTCCTCCCAGCCGGGGACGATCCCTCCAGCCTGGACGTATATCTGCGGCCGGCGCCTTGATGCCCGGGACCGGGAGGAGCCCCGCTGCCAGCACGGAAAGGTCTTCCCCGGCTACGAGCCCCGGGGCTGCGGGCTCCTCGCCGAGCTCCCCAGGATGATGGGGAGTGGCCTCGGGGGGTCTGTGCAGACCACAGAGCACCCAGCTGGGCTCAGCAGCCCCGTGCAAAGCACGTGTCTGAGTGCCAGCTGCCTTCCCAAGGGCAGGGGGCTAAGGTGCTCCAGCCCCAGACCCCGAAGTGCTCACCAGAGCTTGGCACGCCTCGGCCCTTCTTGAGGGGCAGCTGACACCTCTGGCACCTTCCCGTGGGGGTGTTTTGCCCTGTGCTATCCTGTGTCTGGCAGATCTATGGACAACACTGTAACCCAGCCGCTGCAAAAGCTCCCCTGACAGTGGGTGAGCAGAGAGGTATCTGCCACTTCACCTCCCATCATCTTCCAAATCAACCTGTAGTCAGAGTCTGCACTGAGAGGAAAAGGCTTAGAAGATGCTCTGACAAGACACAGCCTCAAAGGAAAACATATGCTTTTATTCCCCTGGCCTGGGGCTGCCTTCCTGGCTTTGCAGGCTCCAGTCTCAAAGGACATGGCACTGTCTGTCACATCATCACACCTCTCACACCTATCACTGACCATCACACACTGGTTTGTTTTCCATGTACCAGAACATCACATTTTTTTATAGGCTCTGAAATACAGCACAACTGAGCTTCTGGGTGGCACATAAATACAGGTCCCTGCTTTACTGCAGCCACTGCCTTCTCTCCCCCAGAGTTGTAATCCCTCATCTCCACTCCACAACATCCAGAGAGGACAAGCTGGAAGTGGGCAGGCAACTATGCCAGCCACTGCTCCTGCCCAAGGCCAAAGCCAAAGAGGTACAAAGCCACAGGTGCTGTTGGTCTCTGAGACATTTGTGTGCCATCATCTGGTCAAACTGCTCCAATCTGTCACCTCTGAAATTTATTCTGGTGCAGGATTTCTTCTGACAGAGGGCACAAAGAGGCTATAGTCATGTTAATAAGGAGCAAGTGCTGTCAGACAAAATATAGGAACAGACTGGAAGCAGGAGGGTGGGTGAGGGGCACAGCCATGCCCCACGCTCCAGACAGCAGCTCTGAAGAGGGGCCAACATTCACTTATGCTAAACAAAACCCATCCACTCTCTTACACCTGGTCCTGGGACCCAGAGAATTGCTGAATCTGAAGATAAGCATCCAGCCCAGAGAAACAAATCCTGATAACACTCCCTTGTTTCAGTACTCCATAAATACAGGGAAACGTTAGAGCTGCCACCTTTGCTACCGGCTGTTCATCTGTCATTTAGTGCTGGCACTTCTATTCCTGTCTCAAATAGCTTTTGTCATTTTCCTTCCAAAAAAGCAGCATTAGTCAGCGTTGTGTCTCCTCCTTATCTGAATATGACACATATGAATGCAGGTCATGGGAAAGCAGAGCTGCTACCAGAAATAGCAAATTTTTTTGAGAAAGATTTATCTACTGGTGGAAATTTCAGGCAATACGAGACATACAGGAGTATTTTGTCTTAAAACACACTAAATTCTCTGAATTCAATGGTTCTAGAAGTTCAAAATTTGAGGTAGAAGAGGACCTGAACCTCTATTTCACACCTGCTAGGGCCCTAGAAACCTCATACGTTGCTATTTAAAATATTTACTTCAGGCAAAAGATTTCACAGGTTTGCAATCTAAATAAAAGGCAACAATGATTAATCTAACACAGTAATAGTGGAGGTAAATATAAGCCAGGCTTCGGTTAGTGCTAAGCTTTTTGCAGGCCTCATGGAACAATCAACAAACCCAGTCATTCCTGCTTACCTGGGACTTTTCCTGAACAAGAAACCAAAATTTCTGAGGTGTGAGCGCTGTTTACATAATTCAGAACCGTTTTTCCTCTGTAGCCTCAGAATCCACAGAAATAGACTGGGTTGATTCTTTTTCTGAAAGAACTACTCTCAGGTGAATGATTTCAGTGCCATTTCACCCCACATTAAGTTTTCACTGGCCTGAGGAAGAAAATTGCAGGCTAAATGAGACTGGACGTATTACCCTGTTTTCTAAAGATTCCTATCTCTTTTTAAGGTAAACACGGAAGCACCCATTACTATCTGTAGGTTGGTGCTCGAGAGGTAAACTCTTTTCCTTTCACTCTTTTCCAAATTTAATTTTCCACATTGATTTCTGTTTTGCAGCAGCACTGTGTTGAAGCTTATACCACAGCACTCCATTACAGGATGCATCCACAGCATGAGAACATTCCTGAACATCCTCACACCTGCAAGTGAGAAATCATGACTAATACTCACTGCCTCCAACACATGCCTGGTGTAACTCTTCCTCACAAAAATAACAACCCAACCCCTCCTCCGAGTGCTATAGTGAGTTATAAACTGTAGTTTACCTTTCTAACAAAGAAAAATGGATCATTTTCTGTGACATCTTCCTTGCCAGGAACAAGACAACCTCGACTGTCCTGTGTCTTGGCACGTTGCAATGACTGTGATGCTTTGCCTACAAACACAGCTGTAACGTTCAATAACAAATATCGATGGCTGAGAACCTTCATGTTAAAGCAAGGGCAGAGAACTAAGCTGCTCTGAATGAGTGGCCTGACGGAATCGACTCCCAGGGCACAGACACCCCCGCCCAGGGACTCAGCTCTCGCACAGGAAAGCGGGGAGGTTCCTTCTCTGAAAGCGGTTTTCCCGGGCACTCCAGGGAGGATGGTTCCTCCTCTGTAAGCGACTTTTTTCCCGGGCACACTCCCTCGCTGGGCAGTTTCCTGTTTCCTCCTTGCTGCTCCGAGAAAGGAAGGAGAAGCGGAGGCAGCATCCCCTGAGCAACACCGCGTTCCCACGGAGCAGAGAACTGGAGGCGCCGCGGGATGAACTCCGGCCGTGGGGAGAAGGTGGGGTGGGTGGGGGGGTGTCTGGTGCGCTCAGCGCCAGCTCAGCCACCAAACCTGCATGGGAGCCCCCCACGGACACGGACATGGACACGGACACGGACACGGGCCCCGCTCTCCCGCGGGGCGAACACGACCTGTCCCTGCAGAGCCGCGGCCGGGCGGGAGGCGGCGCCCCTGCACAGCCGCTGCCCGCGGGCCGGGAACACCCGCCCGCAGCCCGGCAGGATCCCGCCCTCCTATCGCCCCTCCCGCCCAGGGATGAGCACCCCGCATCCTGCCTTTTGCTCAGCCCGAGCGCCGAGTGCGCCTCCCGGCACAGACCAGACCACTGGGTTGCATCCAGTGATGCCCGGCCCCGCGATTCCGCTCAGACAGCACCAGAAAGAGATACCAAACCCACATCTCCTCCTTGTGTACCTACCACTTTGCTCCTCTTCGGGCCTTAACGGCGCTTTCCTTGGTTTAATCATTTGCTTCTTGAGCAGAGAAAAGGCCTTGGACTGCTGAGCTTCAAACACCACTCCCATGTTCCCGAGGAGCCGGAGCACCCTGTGCAGCAGGAACGGCTTCGCCTTGTGCTGGGCCACCTTGAGGAGGCTGATATGAATTTTGGGCAGGTTGACTTCTCGATCACAGTTATGAAACCGAAAGAGATTCCAGGCCAAGCTAGGTCTAAAGATATCCATTAAAATGTATCTGGAGAGTTTAAGGAGCATATCACAGGACAACTGCTTTTCTTGTGGCTTCTGGTTCAGGTTCTGACTAAGCAAACTTCTCCTTCCATGGTAACTCAGGAGAGAGCTGCTTCTGAAGGAGCTGGAGGGTTTGTAAGAGACCACGGTCCCAGAAAGGGTTTTCTTACTGTGCAACAGTCTTCTGTAATCCATATCCCACAAAGCACTATTGGGATTCAAGCCATGTTCTGAAATAATCATAAATACAGTAAAACCTATTAAACATAAAAAGCAAAGAATCCCAGGCAGTTTGTTTCCTCAAAATATGTGCATATCTATATATCTTTATATCTGCATTTATGGGTGTTCTGCTGCAGCCCTGGATACAGCACAGATCACTGCACTACTTTGACAAACACGGAATGTTTCAACAGGCCAAATAAATAGATTTGAGATACTTATGTTTTTAGGTACTATAACATAATAATGATCATCTGCAATTTTTAATTTAAACTACTGTTTTCTGTAATGCTCAGGAAAACTATCTTAGTTATTCATACATACACGCCAGAGTACACAGATTCCTAAAAAAATCCTCATCACCAAAAGAGTACGTACTACTCCATATAAATTTTGCTGAAAAACGTTAAGAAAAATAATGATTCTTAATAAAGACTGTAAAAGCCTTTTCCGTAGTTGCCTAAGAAAGGAAACTTTTACACTCCCACTGAGCCATTTGCATTTTGGGTCCAGCCCCAGGCTCCAGCACAGTCTCTAATTTTCTAACAGATATAGATATCTAACACATAAAAGCTTAGTTTTGCTTTCTAGGTGCCCTCTCTGGTCTCTGCCTGCTGATTAAAGCCATTATCTCAGTGTAACAAGGTTAAGCTGTAGCTGCTCGAAGGCCACAGTAGCTTCATCCTGCTATAAGAAGGTACTGATAAGGGAGAATTGTCACTCTCTGAAGCTCAAACTTTCTTCTAAGGTAGCACCCCTACCCACCTCTCCTTTCTCCAGGCTGAGCCCAAAGGTTCAATTTACACTCTGAGAATTAATCAATAAAACAATTACATGCAATATAGGTAGGTTGGGAGTTCATGATAAGTAGGGCTGCAAACACACAAGAAAGCTCTGATAATTAAAAGGGACAAGGAACCCAAAACTCAATGGCATGTTGCCAGAAGTGTTTGAAATGGTGAATGTTTTAGTGTAACAGCATCCTGCTAAAGGCTGGAGGTCATGTCCTGGGAGCCCTGGCATGTTCCTGCAGCCTTTCATTTCCAAGCAGAGAACAGGATTTTTAAGACTGTTCTTCTATTTCTGACAGGGGGATCCCAGCCCAGCATGTTTGACAAGCTTCAGGTTTGTTGATTTTTGTTTGATTTAAGATTAAAGTTATCAGCTTCAAGTAGTTGTGACTTAGGGTCCAGGGGATTGCTTGCATATTGTAATTGTATTAGTTAAGTATTCTACTATTATGTTGGAATTTCACATATCAAAATGCCCATTTATGGCTGTAATTCATCCCTGAATTTGATCCAAATGCTCTGGCTGGACAGACCGGATCATCCCTGAAATATAACATTGTATTATTTAGAAACTGTAAAATATGACTGGTAGGACTAGATGGCAGAGGGTAACTCGGGAACATGTCATAACAAAAGCAGCATTTTGCATCTTTATGGCATCTTTCATTCAGAGCAATCGACAGGCATTGTGAGAGCCCTTTTCATAAGACCCCTGACAGATCAATGAGCTCTTCCATTTAGTTTGGAGATGGGCTGATGTGGAAGGAGGTGAACTGCTTGTGTGAGATCCCTGGGAGGAATTCCCAAGGAGAGTGGAAGGAGGACCCAGCTCCAGGAGCACCCCAGTAATGTGGAGTCCACATTACTCCATCCTCCTGGGCAGACGTGTTGGAGGGCCAATGGTTCATGCAGAGGAGGCTGGCAGGCAGGCACCGCTGCCATCCCACTGGTGCTGGTCTGAGCCAAAGGGAAACAGTCTGGGGGCAGATCCAAAGCATTCCTAAGTGCACCTAATGGCAACGCTGCAGCCGAGCGACTTGGAATGTAAGCAACGTTAAATCTTTAAGCAGGTCTGCAAAGCTTCCAGAGCAAACTGCTTTGCAAAACGTTATTTAGAATAAACAAAACTTTGGATCGATGTCTTGTCTTCAGAGGCAGCCTTTAAACTAAAAAAGGCCTAAGAGACTAAAGGGGAAAATAAATGAAGGACCCACTGCTTGCAGTCACCTCCAAAGCCACAGTGAAACCGAGCCACCTGTCTGTCCTGAAGTCAAAGTGGGATCCAGAGGTGTGTTGTGTCCCTTCCGCTGGTTCTCCAGACAAAGAAACGGTCAGTTCCAGCAGCCCTGCACCTTCTCCTCTCCCGGAGCAGCCACAGCCCGGGCAGCCCGAGCTGGCAGCTGGGCCCCAGCCCCGAGGAGGGTTCTGCCCCCGGGGCCGCAGCACCGCCTCCCCCGGCAGCACCGCCCGTCCCCGGGTCGTCACTCACCGTGTCCGCTCGTCGCCTGCGCCCCGGGCCGGGCGCCCACCACCGTCACCATGATCACCATCACCAGGAGCAGCAGCAGCCGGGCGGCCCTGGGGCTCCTCGGGGGTGTCCCGCAGAGCCCCGTCCCAGCCCGGCGCCCCCCGCCCGCCCCCGTACCTGGCGGCATGGCCGCGGCCACCCCGGGCAGCCCCGCGGGGAGGGACGGAGCGCAGCCCGGCTGCCCCTCGGCGCGGAGCCAGGCGGACGGAGGCTGGATTTCCCCGGAGGGATTCCCCCGCCGGACTCAAGGGTCGGTTCTGTCCCGAGCCGGCGCTGGCACGGCCCAGGGGAGCGGGGATGCTCCGGCCTCCGCGAGCGAGGGAAGTGCAGCTCCGTCCCAGGCGGAGCGGGAGAGCGAACACAGCCGCGCTCAGCAGCGCCCAGGTACAGCCAGCCCAGAATTCTACTTTAGAAAGCGACGTGCTGCACCGCCGGGCCCTAAGGAAACCAAAGCACCTTTACCCGTACAGAAACCAGCAGGCAATTTATAACTGACATACTAATGGTGTATGGGTCTTCTTGGGGGTTCTTTTTTCTTGTAAGATAGCAGGCCTGTCTCCCTAACACTTTCTGCTGACTTAGCTTAGTTACTGTAGAAATCCAGCTTCAAAACCAGACATCGACAGAGGCAGTCAAAGGAGCAGCACTTAACTCTCCCACTGCAAGGACCAGCTCCTGCTTTTTACTGTTGTGGCAAAGTTATGAGACCCAAATTCAACATCTCACTTTGAAATTCACACCCATGTGATCTAAGAACTACCACTGGACTTGGAAAGCAATACAGGCTCCGCAGGTAGTTTCTGTGCCTGACCTCATTCTCAACAGCAGAGTGCCCACCATCAAAGAGGCCCCTTACCCTTACCCAGCGCTGGAGTACAAATGACTGCATTTGCCACACAAGAAATTTCAGAGCTGAAATAGCTGGAGAACTCCACAAAAACGGATATAGAGAAATAAGTTAAATGGGCTTAAACCAAATCATCAGTTTGCATTCACGAGAATAGACCTAAGGGAGAAAACACTTTCCAAATGAGAACTATCAAGGTTTACGGCTGAACGAATAACCAGAGGAAGCAGGTACATTGGGTCTCTATTTCTATGTTTAGCACCATTTAGAAAAAGCAAATACAATACAGAGTTTATAGAAGATGTGTACAATGCCAAGCATAAATACAGGTTTGGGTATTTAGAGCTAAAGGGCCAGTGCCCAGAGCAGAGCACAAGTTACAGGAATGACATGGAAGAACGAGGAACAAAAACACGGCAGAGGCAACACAGGTAACAGGCCTGTGAGTACAAGTTAAATTTATAACAGTTACATAAATTTTAAAAGGATACATATCAGACTCCTTGGAAAATGCCACCTTTGAAATTGTAACAAATATTCTTCTCTGGCTTTTTCAAAGTGCAAGCGCTAGACAACTACTGATAGTAAACAGATGTCCCAGACCTTACCTTCCTGCGAGCAAGCCATACCTCATCAGTGGCTGTACTACATGAACACAAATGGTCAGTCACACAGGAAAAATGGACAGAGCATCCCCATCAACAATGTTAGTGATCGCTCACACCCTTGGAAGACCCGTTGCATAATTTATCCAGGCACACAGAGCCATTTTTACAGTGACACCTTGATAGCTCTAAAATATGCATAACAAGTTCTTGTAAAGGCCCATATTATACATTTAAATGACAGAGTGTTAGCAGTTTGCTGGAACAGACTATTTTTTTTTTTTTAGCCCAAAATTTGTTTTTCATAACCTCACATCATCCCCTTTCCCATCATTTAAAAACTCTGTTCTAACCCTTTTTTCTTAAAAAAAAATGAGGACCTGAAATCCACTGTCATGGATTAACTGTAGCTTCATGACTTGGCCACATTTATTCAACTAATAGTTAAGGTTGACCAGCAGTGTTCTGAAATGCCTGAAAGTGATGCTTTGATACAAATTTACAATATAAAGCAGCTCACTATCAGGATTTATTCTGTGTATAGCATATGTCAGAAAATTATAAAAAAATCAGAATTAATTTAAGAACTATTGGATGAGAACCGGGCTACAAGGAATATTATTTAAGGGACCAAACTGGTAAACAAATCACTGAATTAAAATAGTGGTAAGAAGATCCATACCAGTGGATCAATGATAGGTCATTAACATTTTAATTAAGAGCAAAACATCTGTGTTACTTAAATGCAGATTAACTTCACAAAGCAAAACAGACAATGCAGAAACCAGATTAGCGAGGCACCTCTGAGAATTAGTTAAGCAGGAATTCAGGCAAATATAAGATAGTCCAAGTGGAAATTCATGTTCATCCAGAACACTGTGAACTCAGGCTGCATGTGCAGAGACCACAGGACACATGCAATAATGCTGAATTCAGATCTGGGACTCTCATTAACAGAGGAATACTGACAAAATGCAAAGCTACTGCAAAGACAAGTCACAAAATGTGACACTGCAGGTGTTGAAAAAGTAGTAATCCAAGAAATCAATTTATAGGGAAAAGGTTAAACGTACGAGTTTGTATAAGTAAAAGGGTAGCTATAAGGGGTCATAAGGACAAGAAACATTGCAGGCTGAAGTTTCAGAGCAACACAAAGTTCAACCTGGGTATGAAAAAAAACCAGTGCCCAATTAGGCAAAAATCCCCCAAGTCACTACATTGACAAGCTGACTCAAAGTTACCTTGACTACCTGTACCACAGACAGCAGCTTTGTTTCCCAGGGCTACAGTCTCAGGAAGCACACACTGAAAAAAAACCCCAATGTGGATTTATGAAGGTACAATAAATATAATATAAAATCAAACATGTATCTGAAAATTTATTTAAAATACAGGAGGGAAGTGGTGAGCTTGAGGTGATGAATAGGCAAAACTTGCCAGTTTTGGCTGGAAGAGTCACCAAGACAACAGCTAGGGGCCCTGCTGCCTGGGACATTTAAAACTCCCCAACTAGACAACACAGATGCACAAATCCAGAGCCTAAGGACCCAGATGACGTGGAGCTGGATGCATGTCCTCATTTCCCTCCACTCTAAGTGAAATTACTAGTTTTTCTCCTTTTGCAGAAATAGGGCCAAGGCAATAATCAAAGCCAATACACACTTGCAGTGCTGAAAATTAACTGCAGGCCTATATTAAGGATTCATAAACAACTGTGTTCAAACATTTCTTCCAGGCAACAAATCATGATTTTTCATTACTTAAAACCAGCTGAACACCATTTAAACATAATCTCTTTCACAATTCATTTACATACCCAGGTTGCTCTATCAAGAAATCTGTATTTATACTTCCCTTGTGTATGAAAATTATGTACCAAATAAGATTCAAAACTTGAGCAAGCTCTAATCCATGCATCCTTTATTCCATTACAATCACTGTGTTGCTTTGCAGCAACAGGACACGAACTGCAATCAATCGCGATCAATTTATACAACAATCTGAGGCTTACAGTACATTTAAGGCCTTTAAATTTGGAAAAATTAGACCTATGCTAGCAGTGTAACAATTTTTAAGTGTTTTGCATTTCTGATGCATAATCTGTGCGATTCCAGTGTCAAAGAATCAAATTACTTCTAAACTAAAAAGATCAGCTCAATGAAAATTTAGTTACATAATTCATCAAAACATAAATGTGTAAATTTTTTTTTTTTTGTCCTGGAAACTTTATAAAACTTTAATAGCAAAATAATATAGGGATAAAAACATATTTTAACAAAATGTATTCAATCATATACAAACCAGAATTTTGCAGTTTATTGTAACTAGACTTAAATTAAAACTACCAATTAAGAATCTATGCACAATGTAAATTCAAATATGTACAGTACTTTTAAAAAGTCTACAGGAATGCTTTACAGAAGGAAATGTCTGTTATGGCTATTATTCAGACAATCTGAATATTAAAATGAGTTTTCTAATAGTAAATTTACACACTTATTTTTAAACAAAAGCAATTTTGTCCCTAGATCCTTTAAGAATATTCCAGTTATGCTTATACAAGTAATGGAGAGGTCGTTACAGAGTTTAGCCCCATATAGTAGTTTGTTTATTTTCAGGTAAAAGTATATTTAAATAATTTACTTGGGAAGATCAGCAAGTTAACAAAAGAACACTAGAAGGGAGGAGGGGGAACTTCATCACAATAACTTTCCAGTTACAATACCACAGCTAGAAACTTCACAGAGAAAGTACTCCCTTAGATTGAACCCATGATTGTTCAGAACAAGCTGTAGCTCATAACAGTTGTGTTCTCCACACTGAGAACACAGGGGGAAAAAGTCTTTGTAGGACAGAATTATAAATGATCTGAAGTGAGACAGAGAAAACTGATCTTCGATTAATACAGCACTAGGTAAAAAGTGTCCCCATAAGCAGCTAGGATTCCCACTTCCTTCAGGGCAACGAAGCTAAAAATTGTTGGAATTACAGTAGTTGACCATATTTGTGTGCATTAGTAGAATCATTTCCAGATATAAAAGACAAATTTCATCAGATGTTTGATTAGAACACCCTCAAGGCAGGGCATTTCTTCATAGTATAAAGCTATTACAGCTATCCAGTTAAAGCATGTGCAAAAACAGGTAATTTCTTCCGTTCACAGTAACTGAGGTAAAATCAGGTAGGCTTCTTCAGGAGTTGGGGAGTTCGTGAGATATGAACTGTTTTAGTCTCTCTAAGTACTGTGCATAAAGCTCTATGTCATTATGCCCAGCCCCTTCCACCCAGAGGGGCTCTACCGCTCGCGGACACCGCTCGTACATGGCCAGGCCGTGCGAGAAATCGATCACCTCGTCTTCGGTACCGTGGATGACCAGCACAGGAGAGGTCACTTTAGAGATCTTGTCAATGCTGGGGGAAGGAAAAGAAAACACAGCTCAGTTCGGGGCTTTAACTTTCATACCATTAAACGATTGATACATCCAGTTACCACTGCACGTTTTCAAATGGCTGCAAATCGTTGGAGTTGTGCAAAAGCGATATGGGACAAGGCTCGTTCCCAAAATACACGTGTAAACAGGAGCCTGCACTGCCATCACCACCATCCCACCAGTGCTAACAACATGAAGTTGGAATGGGCAGCATGCAAATAAGGTTTGGCACCAAAAAGCCCCCACCAAAACAGAGGGTTTATCTATTACAAAAAACACTGGGAGGCAAGTGAGATTCCATGGGACATGCTGCAAATGTGGACTCTTCATATTACACATTATCACTGTCCAATTTAACAGCTTAGGAACGAATTAACTACATTCCAGTCATAAGATTTCATTTAAAAAAAACCCCAAACAACAAAGCCTTGCTTCATGAGGCTTGAACCTCTCTTTGACCCCCCAAATTAGGCAGATTCAGCTAAAGTGGGCGGAAAAATGAATATTGTTAATATTTGATTTGACAGAAGGACAAGTCTTTATCCTCCCTAGTAAAAGGTGTTTGGATTTTCCTGCTGCTGAAGAACATGGAGGCATGCAATTCTGGCAGGACTGTTGATTTTACAACATGATCAAGACTGCTTAAAATTATTTAAAAAATACAGATGCCAGCATATGCTGACTTAAAAACAGGTTCAGAGAAGCTTTATGAAACTATAAAGTTACCTAAAAACTAAGATGTAAACTGAAGCACTAAGCTTCACACATACAAACCTCAGCATTCAGTATTCTAGAGAACTGCCACTGGTATTCCAGTAAACATCTGAGTGTAAACACATTTCTGTCTGTCTCAATACTTCTCAAAAAAAAAAAAAAAAGCAGGATTCAAGTCATTTAAGGTGCTATTTAAAATGTAGCCTATTTCACTTTTCCTGTCTGGAACTTGAGTTGTGTGCAACTATGCTGCATACAGGAAATAATTCCAACATAAGAGAGGCCTCAGAATAATGTAGATTTTAGTTTTCCCCATAATTTTTATCCCCAAATTAATATCATAGCTCAATGTAAATTGCAAATATTTTATATTCGACATGCTATACAAATTGAAGTTTTAAGCCCATGGAAAAGGTCTATCCCAAAGTTCCACAATGTGACAGATGTATCAGCCTCATACAGCTACAGAGATATTTATGCATAATTTTTATGGCTAGATACTAAGTCCTCATTTATTGTAGGAAACCCCTTTCACTTCAGTATTCAGATAATGAAACTATTTTTTTTTCCACATATATTCACAGACCATTAAGCCAGATAATATTTGTATTTTGCAGAAAACTGGAAGGCGTCCCATTGCCAACTCAGCGACTCATAAAGCAGTATTTAAACTGCACATTAGCCTTACTTAGTATTCTCAGCCACACGACTCTGCAGCTAGAAAAATCTACAGAGACCAAACTCTCACAGAGTCCCAACATAAAATGCACATAATAGCAATTCACTGTAGGTGCACACAGAACTATTTTGCTTCCCACCGTGAAGACAGACAGTTGAGCTGCACACATTCATAAAGTGCACTGCTGTTTATTTTCACTGCTCCCAGTACCAGGGAACTCAGACTGACGGCAATGAAAAGCTCAGTAGGGCAAGAACAAAATACTCAAGTGCTACAGTACATCTGTTGTCACTGTTCTCCCTTCCACTTTTTCTTTTTAAAACTGTTATTTGATTTGGCTGGTAACAGCTAATCACTGTTACTTCTGCAATCAGAGCTGGTTTTAAGGCTTTGTTTTTTCCTGCTCCCGCAGAAGCATTTGTAAATATTGGATTTCAGGTTTGAGGATGATGAATGAGTTGGAGTATAAGTGCTTCAAATTCTGTCTGCACCTCCAACAATTTAATTACTTAATTAATAACCTGTTTGGAAGAATTCTAAACATGGGGACTGGACATGGATACTGTGAGAACCACTATGACTTGGTCACCATTCCCTCCAGTTCTTCTGGTTAGAGATTTGTACCTACGGCCTCCTCCACCTTCTAATTTTGATCTGTTGTAACCAAAATAAAACAAACATAAGAAATGCTATAAATATCCCTTACTACACTTATTGCAATCATGACCTGAAGCAAAGCCAAGTATTGCACAAGACTTCAGTGTCTGTTTTGTCTTCTCCCTTCCATGGACCACCAAGGTTTTTATCTGTGCCTCCCCTCCTCACCCTCAGGTCTATATGCCCTGCTACAGAGAGACTGGATTCCCCTCTCATATTCTCCCATAACTTAAACTGAGTTCTTAAAGATTCCTGGAATATCTGCTGTTCTCAGGACCTCTACTATTCCCAAATATTTGGATACTCTAATTTAGGTCTGCTGCAATTGCTTTGCCAATGAAGCACCATGCTGTAAAAGCAACTGTTTTATCCTAAAACCAGTTGTATATAGTTTTCTGTATGTAAAATATTTGAGAGCTTCTTAAAACAATCTCAAAATCTTCCAAAACAGGGACAGCGACTTACTTTGCTTTGGTCACAAACATCAGGATCTTACACGATCCCCAGCAGGGAGCAACAAATACAAGTCTTGGTATCTATTTGCATACTAGTCCCTTTTAAACACCTAAAGAGTGTGCTGAGCATAGAACAATCATCTTTGCAGCATTTATACGTACCTTGGAAAAGCATCAAAGCAATAGGTTTTCCTAGTGTCAGGAAAAGCTACCCGTAATCCAGACATCAAGGGAGAATGAAGGATTACTGCTGCACACTCGTACCGAGATGCCAGGTCTACTGTAGGGACAGTACCAATACTCTGACCATACAGGATGATGTTCTCAGGACTAACACCATACCTGTAGAGAAAAGAAAGATCCCTTTGAAAAAAAAAAAAAAAAAAAGCCAAAACACAAGACATTTCACATCACAGAAGCAAAAACCAAACCAAAGAAACTAAAAGAGCATCCCCCCCCTTTCCTCTGTAGCTCTTTAAAATCTGTTTCTAGGAGACAAGAACTTGTACATCTAAATTTTAAAGCAGTCCATTAAAGTAAATAATCAAAATATTACAAAGGTTAAAGAGAACTGTCCTCAAAGAAGGAATGTCAATTTGTTCTTTAATCTTCACCTTCTTTATCAACAGCTCTTGTTTTTCACTCCACAGCACAGCAAATGAGACCTTCCCCCTATCCAGAGTCACTCTCAGAAATTTCAGTTGGATATCCAAGGTGGTAAAGACCTTTCCCACCATTAAACACGATAGTTACTCCTCTGCCCACCTTTCCTTCCATGCAGTTGGAACAAAAACTCAAAACTGCCTTGTTAGTGTAGCTGAAGACAGCAAAGACAGGTCTGTTAATTTTTCCAATTTCTGATCAGTATAAGTTATTCCTAATTTTTCTTTTCCAGTTTAAAATGTGTCAAGTTTATTTTGTAACTATAAAGATACATCATTTCATAAAATTCAGGGTTCACAGGGAGTCCTGGATGGCTCCCTGATATTCCTGTTTAGTGTGTAATACTGTCCTAGCCTGTGTGCTGTTTCATACTGCAAAAAAACTTGAGGATGAGACTAACTCAGTTTTCACTTGAAGTATGCCAAAGGAATTTGGAAGGGGCACAGGAGGAGGTGACAGTGGATAGGAAGAAGTGAAGAGCATTTGGCCACCACAACTTGTTAGAAAAGCTGCTAATCAAAGCTGTTACTCAATTATAAAATATTTACCCAGAAGATTTTTATCTGTAACTCCACTTCCTACTGCAAGCTGTACAAAGAATAATCAAGTGCAGAAGAGAATGCACTTCTAGTTGAAAATAATTTGTGCAGAACGTGTCTTTTTGCCTGTCTACACTGTCGACAGTCCTGCTGTCACTGACAATGAAAATCAAACCCTACACTTTAGGCCATACCCCCTATGTCTCTGGAAGGTTTCAATTTCCTTGCAAAGCTCCTTGCAAGGTATATGGTCAGGCCTGGAGAGTACTCAGCTTTCAAGCATGAAATGGTTGATTTGGTACGTGCAGAAGAGAAAAATTACAAGGGAAGAATAACCAATTAATAATTAAAATTACAATTACAATAGAAGAATAATCCAGTACTAATCATGCAATTACAGGCTGTCAAGATTGCCTCGTTTTATGATGAAGTATAACTAGACTGGATTGTAGCCTCTGTGAAACTGAATTTTTCTTAGTATTTCTATACTGCTGAGCATAAGGGTGCTTTTGGCATCTACCATAATATGAATAAGCAACTGTATAAAAATATCTCCCTGGAGTAAAATTTTATCCTCTTGGTAACCAAGCAGCAGCTCACACTGGTGGTCTATCACCACAGCCACAGCCTGATGTTCTTAAAGAGATCTTGTGAAGCTCTTCTTGAAGATTTTTTTCCCCCTCCCTTAGTGTCAGATATAGTCCAGCACACAGAGGAGCAGAGTTGACTCAGTTATCAGATCTTGGAGCAAAGTCTTGTCCTCACAGGCTTCATTCCATGTGCTGGGTGGGGAGGGCTGCAGGCATTCACCTCCGAAGGCAGCACAGGCATCCAATCTGCTGATGGACCAGCTGTTGCATCGTATTAAAGACAGGCAGAAATGCATCAACATCAGGGAATACAAGAAAACAGGACTGAAACAAGATCTTCTATGTGGCACTTCAGTGGAGATGGAATGATATATTAATGCTGGTAGGTTTTGCAATACCATCCTGAACTCCAGTGTCGTGACAAGCATGAAGTTCCCTTTCTAAAAGGTTTACAGTACAAGCAGAATATGGAAGCAGATGTTTGAATGGGAATCACAGGGTAACAGGACAGCATAGGGTGGCAAGAGAATTCAACAAATACAATTGCCTAAGTATAGCAATTTTCTTCAACATTCATCTGCTTTGGGCTCACTCCTTTTGATGTTATTTTGCTTGAAAAATCTCAATTTCTTAGTATGCTAGTTAAAGTCAGATACAGTCTACAGAGTCATTAAAAAACCCAGAGATCTCTAAACTTAAAGCAGCCCTTCATCATTAAATAAATGTTACAACTATTCAGTATCCAACTCCATAGAAAGTCAACATGACAACTTTGACAAATGAAATAATCATAAAAGGGATTAGGATGCTGAGTTAGTGCACTCTTAGCCTACCATTACATCAAATGCCTTTTCTATTTTTGTATTCCTTCTGACTGACAACTAAAAGAATCTCTTGGACTGTTTTATTTAGGGACAGGCCAACTTTCCAAGACAGACAAGTTACTGTAATAGATTTATCTTTTAAGCCCTTCACCATTAGGCCATCAATCAACAAGTGAGACACTAAGCTTACTGCAAACATCAGCAGAAACAGCTACAAGTAAAATTTATTTATTGTGAGGCCAAAGGACACAGGACAACTCATAAGTGAGGGCCATGAATAACTGACCTGTGCAAGGTCCTCAGAGCTGAGAGCCAGGGCTTGGCTCCATGATCCTCCCAAAGGCTGCCCAGCCGGTGACTCAGCAAGCACCGCTCAGCTGGGGTACAAACCGACCTGGGGATTTTATCCTTAAAACACAACATGCTTAAAGCAAAGGCTGGGTCCCTCCCTCACTCTCTGCAAACTTCCTTGTGGTATTAGATCCTTGCACAACAGGAACAGTGATACAGAAAAAGAAAGAGAAGAGAGGAAGAGCAGACATGGGTGAGAAGGCAGCAATGAAAGGATAACAGCGACAGAGAAAAATGGAAAGAATATGATAGAAAAAGGCAAAAGACACTCTGGAAAAAGAGGAATCTGGTTACAATCTGCCCGCCTATTAAGGAAGAAAGTCTTTCCACCAGCTAAACAGCAGCTCCTAAAAATAACTTCCTTGAAACACACAAGCTTTGGTCTCTGTGGAAACAGAGCTCCATCCGACGGAGCGGGACAGCCAAGTTAAATTTCTGGATATGCTCGGGCACTTCTCCTGTGGAGCCCATCGGAGAGTTCTAAACAAGCAGGGCAACACTGCAACATGGAAACCAGCCTTCAGCACAGCCAAAGAGGAAAATAACTCAGTTACTGTGGGCATACGCAAAACACCAATTTGAAAACAGGGAAAAAAAAAAAGAATTAGAAAAGATAGGTATGCTTTTTTCCCAGAGGGAACTCCATTACTGAGAACTGCAGCTACTGCTACATAAATGATGCAAGCACTTCTGCTCCCCCTTACCCACAAACACTTATCAGGTGGCAAAGCTCAAAGCTCTCCAGCCTATTCCACTCTCAGTAACCTGTGAGTACATTGTGTGGCTTACAGATTACATTTATGTGTGTAGAAAAAAAAACCAAACCAGCAACCTTCACAAGCAGTACAGCTGTCTGTACCTACAACTTCAGGCCCGGTCTAGGAAAGGCCCCAACACACTCTACAGTTAACAGCCACAGTAGTTATTTTCCAGCCCCCCATGTTACTGCCTCAATTTATACAAATTAGGTTTACCAGCAGTTCTGGTCTCCCCATGCCAGCATGAACTACGTGCACCAAAGCTGGTTATTAAGAATCCACACCCCAGACTCTTTACTTACTCCTGCACAGAGTAATAAGAGACCTCAGTCACGCCAGCAGGTCAGTGGGACAGAGGAGACTGGGAATATTGCTGACAGCGAGTAAAGCAAAGGAGGATGGGACACAATTACTTATAGTTCATCTGCTTGGCCATCAGCTGTGGTTTGGGCCATGTCCCTCCTCAGTTTCCTCACACAACATGGATAATGGCATCAACTGCCACTGCACAGTACTTAATGTTTTCTGGCTGACAGCACTATGTACAAACTATGTATTATCATAAAGCATCTTTAATTATAAGCATAAGATACCAAATCCCTCCTCCCCCCCAGGGCTTCAGCTTCAAGCGATACAGATGGAAAGTTTACCACTGCTATTTTTACTTTCTCCTTACTCAGTTGGGAGTGCCAGTGGAATGCTGCTGTGGGACTACAGACATGTCACACAGCTGAAGCCCTGCAATGCTCATGGCCAAAGCTACAGCATCTGTGCCAATCCTCAAAGGTGCCAAATACATATACAGTAATGAGGCCAGTTCTTTTTTCAGGCTTACTGAATCCGGGAAGTTAACCACACCTTATATTTTCAGTTTGAATTCTTATGATTCTTGCTGTCCCATTATCCCTTACCTGAACTGGAAAGCACATAGAGCAGCATGGATATAGCAACAGCAACAAATTAGTTTTCAAGATCAGCCACAGAAACTATCCAGGCAGAGCATTTTGATGGCACAAAACCCATTCCATAATGCTGTTGAGACCTGCTGTTTAACTGCTACTAAACTAAGGCATCGAGTGACAGCCAAGCTCTTCCTTACAACCCAGTACATAAATATACAAGGCCAGGAAAATGAGGTAACCAGCTCCTGCATTCCTGCAAGGGGACTGAGTTTGAAACCGGGCACTCCCCTCTCCAGCAGAACACCAATGAAATCATTCATTTCAAAGACAAAGAAAATACAGCACACACCAAGAATGACACCAAACATGTCACATTTGGAGGAAATAGTGACTTCTAGAGTACCTTTGCTAGAACACACGTCCTCAGTTCTTCATAACCTATTCAAGTCTGCTTCTGTCTGTTTATACAAAACCATTTGTTACAACATACTGTTTATCCCCTTTTCAAAATGCATTATCTCCAAATTTAATAATCCAGAGGAATTCAGATTGCTTTTCAAGAAACACAGATAGGTTCTTCTCCATCATCATGATACACTTCCGTAAAATATCCATGTACATTTTCAGAAATAAGTGGCAATTTAATCCTCTATGAATCTAAAAATCTAATTTTGGGGATAGAAAGAAAAACAAAAATCCTCAATTAAGTAAAAGT